TTGTAATGCCATAGCCACTGTCTTTGCTATGGGGGAAAAATCACATACTGGCTGGTTTTTTTGCTTGTGTTTCAGCTTTATTGCCCTTGAAGCTATCCTGGTTCTCAGCCAGGACAGCTAATTTTTTCACAGTAACTGTGAGGGGACGGAGTCTGGAGCCATGTGGGCATGTCTAGATTATTATTCTGTATTACCTCTTGTCACTGTCAGGGCAGAAATGCTTCCCAGAAGGAAGGTGAATGGCTTGTGGTCAGGAAGAAGAGCATGAGTGAAAAGGATCTGTCTGCCATTTTGTTCATTTGTGGGTCACACTGGGTCAGCTTGGGCTCATGAGCATTTTTTGCCTGTAAATCACCCTCTTTTTTCTGTACCTTTCTTATTAAGTGTTACTGTTACTGTTTGTTTTCTTATTTCGTTACTGTTTCCAGTAAATTCTTCTTATTTCAACCCATAACCTCTGTCTTTTGTGTCTCCCACCAGACACAAAGAGCAGAAGAGCAGTGGGAGGAGCAGTGTCTGGTTTGGATTAGTCTTGGTTGGGGGTATCACTAAATTAGGGAGTAACATTCTTGAACCATGACAAAAGCCCCTTAGACCACGTCCTGCATGGAAATTTTGGAGCTGCTCTGGTGGTAGTAACCCATTGTATAGTTTCATTTTGTTCTCCCTAGTGAAAAGGTTTTTGTCTCATGTAAGGCAAATATTTGCAAAATGAGTGAGAAAAATGCAACAGGTGATAAGCATCATTTAGGACTCATGAAAGGTGCTGTTGTAACAGGATATTTTTATACTTATCTGAATTTAAGTGTCATGATTTTTTGGAAGGGTTGGAGTGAATTGCAAAAGTTTACCTGCCCCAAGGCTCCTTGAGGCAATGGGACAAGCTGTGCACAACTGTCAAGGTATTACTGGTGGGTAAGATCTAGAATCTCCAGGGACAGGAGATCAGAGCCTTCTGTATCCTTCTGGTCTCCCAGCCAGTGTGCAATTCTGTTCTCCCGTATTTAACTCATGTACCATACTTGTTTGTAGTAGCTTATCAAGCTAGAAGGAGAAATTGTTTTGCTGTGATAAATGGTAATTAGAGAAATCACCTTCAAATAAATTCTTTAAAAGCTGTATGGCATATTTCCCTATTTGTGTGCTTTCCCTTGTCTCAGAAAAATGTGATTCCTACTTCTTGATTTAAAAAAATCCCTGAAAGTAGAAGGTTACCAGATCTGAAAACTTAATTTTGTAGTCTTTATTTTTTTTCTTTATGTGACTTTTTTTATTTTGATGTATTAGAAGTTCAAGATGGGGATCTGAGCTGCTCTGCCTCAGTAAAGCTAATAGTGGTTCAATGCCTCCAGATTCAAGGCCTCAAGGCCTATGACTTTCTGGCAACAGGCTACTTCGGAGGGAAAAAAATAAAAAAGGAAAAAACAAAGAAATAAGTAAAATTTGGCACTGAAACACAAAATATGTGAACCTGTCACAGTAAGCAGTCTCAAAGGGCAAGCTGCTTTGCAGGAGCTAATTAACCTTAGGAAATAATTACACAAATATGCAAATGTTGTTTAGACAATTCCATGTGTTATCGACTCAGGTAGTCCATCATAACTGCAGACCTTGCAATGTCTAGGTGTTAGGATCTGGCATAGTTGATAAGGCTTCAATTGCTGCATCACTCCAACCTGGTATTTAACAATTAATGACTGTGATATTACATTGGTAAATTTAACCTGTTTTTTGAATGCAACAGAATGTCATATTGTATTCACAGTGTGCATACTGCTTATCTCTGTATACCTAATGGCTCCAACTATTAAAATGTTATATACCTTTCAACTCCTATCACTAGCCATGCTGGAAAAAATGGCAGACCAAAATATGAGTTCACTCCCTCCACGTTTCTGCCCAATGGATGGCCCAGGAGTAGCCTTGTTTGGATTGCTTTGCATTGCTTAAACATTGCACTAGGGCCTTTTCACATCATACAGTTTTAATCTTTTCTTCCCTTCATGTCTAATTGTATATATAATGATCAAGAGGAAGGGTTTTCAGAGGGATGGAGACCGACAACTCCAAAGAACCAGACCACTTATTTTGATATAGAATTACCTGCTGTAGGTGACCAGCTTTCACAGTGGGAAGTCGAAGTTCAAGTTTTCCTGCACGTCTCCAGCTCAATCTGTTTCACAAACGAGAATGCATTCAGCCTAAGGTGCCTTTTGAGGTATATATAGTGATTTTTCCAGGCTAATGTCCATTCATTTCTGTACACTTGTGTAATTTCTGTACACTTGTGTAGATAATTATGTAAACTCTGACTGGAAGACCCCCTCTCTATCAAATAACTTAACAATGTTCTATATAAGTGCATTCAGTTTAGCTTCAGTGAAATTACAGAAAGCAACAGCTGCCTGAGACTGTCACCTTTCATGCTGAAAATGCAGCATCCTGTCTTATAATTTAATCCAAGCCAGGCAGTAGAGGTTAAACCTCAGAGACCCAGTGCAATTTGAAATCCTAAGGAGATCAGCTGTGTACTGCTCCTTCAGCTGGATTTTCCATGTACACACCTGGAGCCAGGTCTGAGGTGTTTGTAATATGGGCTAGTTACAAGGGAGAAAAATAAGCAGATGCTCTGAAGAAAGGGCTTTTTTTCTAAGCATTTAGGACTCCTCCAGACTCCTTACACATATGTGCTTTTCTTACCTTATTTAGGGTTTTAGCAGAGTGTACAGCAACCCAGTTTATCCTGACACTTTATGGTTTGTTTTTTTTTTTAAACTGGTAATAAAGGAAGTGACAGTCTATATTTAACTCGTTCTAGCTCATTTCTATTTGCATTTATAGAATCCTGTTGAATCTTTGTACTAGACTGTGAAGATGTGAAGTTACTAATTTAGTTTACTAGACCACTGGTTATGCTTTGATTGGTGAAAGCTTTTTTGGTTGAGTTCAGAAGCTTTTTGCTTCTGAACTCAGCCCATCTTTTGCTTCTGATGTCTTAGTCTTGTGGAACTTAAAATGGTATGCTTTTACTAGCAGTGTCTCAAATAATAAATCCAAAGTAACCTGAAAATGCTATAGTATGCAGAAAAAAAAAGTCTCTTTTTCTTAGATTGTTTAAACTGCATTGAGCATCTATACAAAAATTGCTGTTAAAAGTATCAATGCCAACATTATTATTGAAAAATAAGTACCTCCTGGGTACATAACTAAGATAAATCTTTTAGATAAATCAGTCATTCTGAAACTTTCTCAGTGTTTTAATGTACTTTTTTTCTGTACAGAGCACATCATTTTTGCATAGGAAACTCTGGTTCAAGTTGTACTTCAGCTTTATCTTAATAACTGGTTTGTCAATCATATTTTCTTTATGTAATTGCTTCTAAAAAATTTCCCTCATTCCTCACAAAGGAGGAGTCTTTACTTTCTGTGCAGATCTATACAATCAAATTTTAAAACAGCAACAAACTGTTTTGAAATAAGTCCTTTCCTATACTGAGATAGTTTACAATAGGTGATACAGAATTAGTTAAAACTACATTCTGTCATAGTCAATGAAGAGCAGAATCTGTCCAGGAGAAGAAGAAACTCAGATTTTTCTGTCTTAAAATAACTGCTGCTGAAGCAGAACCATTATTCTAAAAACTTTGAGTCGGGATCCATAAGATATTTGTTGCCATCTCACTCTTACTAACTCTTAGAAAACAGGGCATGAGAATAGAAATAAAAGCCAGAATCAACCACATTATTTAGGTATGTCTCTTCCCACTGATTTTAAACACAAGAACTTAAATCCCCAAAGCTAGTTGCAGAATGGAATTGAGATCTAGATCACCTCAACATTCTTGATAAATTTCAATAATTCACACTGTATAATTAGCAGCTTCTGATTACCAGTGGCTTTTACTGGTTTGTGCTTTCTTTCTCCTAAGGAAACCAGGCTTTTCTTGTCTGTGTCTGAGTGAGCTAAGGATATGAAGTTGTTGCTGGCACCAACCGAAGGGAAAAGGGACGCAAACTTTAGGAAATTACATTACCTTGACTGATCAGCTCTTTCTGGCATTCAAGAGTCTGGAAAGAGCCAACATTGTTATCCTGGTTGTGTGAAATGCTGGCAGAACAGGGTGCCTAGCAGAGCATCTTATTCTTGTTGCCTGAAACTATACCAAATTTGTAGTTATGACCTCAAGAACTCAAGAAAAAGGGAATACTAGAGGGGTATAGTTCTTTCCAAGAGCCTCAAGGATACAGGTACACAACCGTGAGTTTTGATGAGACTGCACTAAAATCAATGTGTGTCTCTCTAGTGCCTTCTGTGACTCTTACACTGGCTGACTTTGACAAAATCTTATTCAATAGTAAGAAAACATGGTCCCCTAGCTACGAAAAACTCCAAAGTAATGGCTGCCACCAGTCAAGAGTTGTTTTCTTTGCACCATGTCTCATAGTCTACAGTCACAAAAAGTAAGATTTGAAAGAGTAGTTGCAAATACCATAATTTTAATCTTAGTTCAAGTTTCCAATGCCTCATAGTATGAAAAAAAAAGGTAAAAATTGAAATTACAGGTCTTTACCAACCAAAATTATTCTACAATTATGTATTTTTATTGTTCTTACCTGTTTTTATTTACCAATCTAAGGCACAAGTACTTTAAACAAACCCTCAGTGAACAAACATTTGACGAAAGAGTTGTCAAAAGAGGGAAAATCTGAGCTATGACTCATAATTCCTATGAATGGCTCTGTTTAGCAGAATTGTCGTCATGGTATTTACGTAAAATTTTGCAGATGCATAATTTTATTATACTTACTAAAGTATGCTCAGAAAGCAACAGTTTTACTGCCTTTATTTAGACAAAAGGATCAGTTCTCTTTTTGATACTCTAGTGTGTATTCATTTAATCTTTATTTTAACAAAACATTCTAACATATAGGAACACATTTTTAGACAGAATTGCCATTTTTTAAAAGATAATTGTCACAAACATTATTTCTTTCTGCAGGATAATGGCTCTCCTGAAGAACATGCGATTTATGTTTGGGACCATTTTATTTCCCAGTCAGCTGCAGAGAATGTATTTTTTGTTGCTCACAGTTATGGTGGACTTGCCTTTGTAGAGTTGGTAAGTGTGAATTCTCTATTGCTGTCTTTTCTCAAGACTGTCACAGATTTCTACATTCTTTGTGATCATGTTATTGAAAGTAGCTTGGTAGAAACAGATGCCAGTGGTCATGTACATGTTGGTCAGGATTTCTTTGCAGCCAGAAGGTCGCTGTATCTTTTCTAGTTTTGAGATAGATAGTAAAGTCCCAAGTGTGCATGAACCTGAAAGACTGTGGGGAAACAGAACATGCTGCATCTTTCTTGTCCAGACTGTGTGCTGAAAGGCACCAGTTTCTGCTGTGGGGCAGAAAGACCTGGGGGCATATGAGACTAAGGACATATAAGAACAGTTTTGAAGCAAAGTCACAGACACAAATGCAGCTTTTTGTATATAGATTGGAACAGAATGTGCAGGGAAATATGGCAGTTTTATTCAGTTTTTGCAGTTTTTCTACAAAGATCTGGAGAACTTGCTGGAAGGACTTCTGTTTTCCCATTTATTAGGCTCTGTAGCGATATAAGGCGGGAAAAACTTTGCTCAGTGTAAAGCTGTTCTACATCTGGTGCTGAAACTGCTGAACATCTAGTTTGTCAGTTTTTCACTCTTTTCTCTAAAGGCAGATCTCTCGACCCCATCTGGTATACCAAGCTGCCTGTTAAACTTGTGTATCATTCTGTCAGTGTAGCTACAGTCTCTTCATATGATTTTAAAACAGTAGTGTAATCCCGATATGTTTTATTGAAGAAAACTACAGAGAAGTAAGGGTCCTGTTTATTGTGGAAAGTTAAATTGCAGAGCGTTAGAACTGGTTTTATAGACACAGGAAACAGCAGACATATATGTACATCTTTTGTCTACAACATATTCATTTAATCTAACTGAAAGTTGATTAAGGTGTTTCCTGCCTGAACATGAGATGAATGACTTCGTTAAGAAAAAGCATGCCATGAGCATGTTGGTGTTAGTCTTACGTTGCTCCAAGTAGCAATAACAGTCCAGACAATGGCCACTGGTATTATTTTAAGAACTTGAGATTTTCCTAAACCCCCCTTTTTTGTTGTTGAAATTGATGCCATTTTCATTGTCTCTGAGGTCCTGGAAGAGTGTGTGCAAAATACACATGATGTGTACAGGTTTGAGACTTGAGAAACAGTTCATTTTCCTGATCTGAAGATCATTTGAGAATTGATAATTTTTCACAGGTGTTTTATTACCTTCTCAATGAATAGTCTCAAAACTAAATTTTGAAGTGAATATTCACCTTGAAGGTGAATAACTCTTTCTGTAACCTCATCTATGGGCGAAAGATGTGTTGCATTGCATGTGCCTGTTGCTCTTGAAATGTCATGAACGTTAGGGAGCCATTGTTCTGTCTTGGCTTTCCTGATGTGTGGGTTTCACCTGCTTTGTGTTTCAGCCCGGGTTATTCTGGTGCGACTTGTGGGTCCAAAGTAAAGATTTGGCAGAATTTCTTTAGATTTCGTAAAGCCACATTGTTTTGGTCACCAGATGCCCAGAGACACACAGCAGAGGGCAACTGGAGACTTTTCTCAGTGTTTCCTAAACAGAGTGCTGACTTGAAGGAGGCTTGGAGAGTTTTTCCATCCCATTTCAGACAATGGCTTGAGGTGGCCTGGGTAACAGATGACCAAGGTGTCATTCCCATTTTCCCTGTTTTTCTTGTCACACTGGTGGATATTTCTTCACTTTTGTTCTACTTTAATATGAAGCACGCTGATGTTTCAGAGCAGGACTTGACTTCTGACCTTGGGGTTTCCAGGGTCAGGGTGCTCAGGGCCTGTGAAGTTATCACAAGCTGAGCAAAAATTTTTAGCAATTGCAGGAAGCAACCAGTAAGTAAGAAGTTAAGAAGTATCTTTGTCAGAAAGACAAGATGGTTTCAGTAAGGGTCAGCTTCTGTAGTCTGCTGTCTCTGCAGGAGATGCATGCCTGAGAGGAGGAATATAATACATATCCATTGACACATCACATATCTGTCACGCAAAACTGGACTTGAAATATATTTTTAATGCAACTCAATGTTTCCTAAAAAATCAAAGAGGTAGTTTGATATTTGAGTACTAGTAAAAGCAGTTTGATTAAATAATTCATACACTGAACAACATATAATTGAAATAAACCTTGAACTATTTCATCACAATATTCATTGTAAGGTTTTATTTTGTTATCATCTCCTTTCTCTTAAACTTTATATCCGTACGGCATTTAGTAATTGCAATGAGCTCCAAAAAGAAACAGAGCAGCTGATGGGCAATTACTGTCTTATGACAAATAAATTTTCAATCGCTTCACTTTCTTCTCTGATTCATGTGGGGGTGATGATGAGGTTGATAGAGCAGCTACACCATATAGCAACTGTACCACCTCTACACTTCCTTTGCAAGTTTTTGGGTTAACTGATTCATGAAATTGTAGGTTACAGTTGTTATGGAAACCTGTTGCACAGCTGCTCCTTCTGCATTTGTGCCTCTTACAGGAGAGCAGTGTGAAGCATATGGCTTTAATTTCGAGTGAAGGTTTCTGCCTGAGCCCTCTGAATTTTATTTTGCCTGCAGGGAAAAAGAAAACAAGCAAAAATATATTTTAAAAAATGTGGTTTTAATTAATATCTTCTTAGTCAACTTTCCATGTTCAGTGCTGTGGGGTCTCTCATGATGGCTTGCAGTCATTTCAGCTACAGCTTGCCACTTCATCGTGGTGTAAGGCTCCTGATGAAAACAGGATGTTCTGGCCTTAAACAGAAAAACCCAATGAAAGCTGATATTAGGCAAAGTCTTGTTCATAGACGTTCATACCATTGTGTGGAAGCAGCGACTGCTCTCCCAGGAAAAGGCAGAGAACAATATTCAGCCTTCCACAGGCAGTACCCATCCAGGTGCTCCTTTGTCTGAGGCTGCTGAGGGAGGTAGCATAAGAAAGGCAGTGCTGCTCTGCCTTGTCCCTTGATTGGCATGCACTTTGTTGGGAAACACATAGTGAAAGAGAGCAGGTACAACCATCACATATGAAATTGGTATAAAAGGAGGATTATTTTTATTTACAAAACTTTGTTGTCCAAATTTTGTTCTTCATTCCAAATCTCTTCTCACCATGAAAATAAGGCTGACTTTTGGAAATCCTTCATTAAACAAACAGGTAAGGCTTGGCTGCAATTTTCAAATACATGCCACTTGAAGTAAAAATTTTATTGATCTTTGCAGCTTTTTGATCTACATTTTCTTATGTCTGTGATTGCAGAATACTAAGACAAATAGGGTGAGTCTGCAATATCATACTCAAATACACAAAAACTTTTACTGCAACATAGGCACGCATTTTCTGTACCTTCTTGTGTCATAGATTACTAGGGGAATAACTGAAAGTGATTAAAATGTGTGGAAAATAAAGTTTCACCAATAAATGCACTAAGTTTTATTGTTCTGTTGTTTATAGGTTGAATTACAAATGGTAAATCATAAGCCGTATGTTAGAATGTATCTTAATATTTACTAAATTAAACTTTGTGTAATTGTGGTGTGCAATAAAACATGTATGTGATAATATCTGCACGTAAATTACTTTTGAATGCACAGCACTAAAAATAATTGTTGGGTCATTGTGTTTTGCTAATTGCTTATTACTGATTTTGAAAAACTCAAGCTATGATTCGTGAACATATCTCAGCTTCTTAATTCTGTTATCCCTTGCATAGTATAGTCAGGGATTTATTTTGAGAATCAGTTTGCTTTACTTGATGGTAAATTGTGGAACTTTCCCAACTCCAAGCTTATAATAATTTTATGAAATTTAACAGAAGTGAGAATTTCAAGTTGATGGAGTCAATTTTATATTTAGTTTACAGAAAATAAGAAGTTTCTGGTACAACGCCTCCTTTGAGTTTTCTTGCCAAATTTTATGGGTTTACAATTATTTTGCTTTAAAAATAATGTTTTTCCTTGTCATTGCCTGCATGAAAGACCCACACAGAAGAATCTTTGCGGAACACTTCTGCTGTTTGCTTCCTATATTTCTGAGACCCCTGCATTTTCAGTTATTTCCTCATAATCTTATAACTAGAGTTACAGCTTTTTTTTGTTTCAATTAGTTAAACACTACCTTTTAAAAAAATATCAAACATCATGGGAATAATGATAAAATTGTGAGAATCATTAATAGTATCTCCATCCTACATCATTCATACTGCTGTGGAAATACGAACTACACACAGGAATGTAATAATTAGGAGAAGGAAAGTAGGTTGTCTCCAGCAGGTATAAACTATTCATTATGGTTCTTTTGGCTAAAATATTGGGTGTATGTATTGATAATTTGCACAAAGGTGTAGGTAAAATGGGGAGAGGGTGTCCTTTTAGCAAGCTTTTTTACAATGAGAGCTCTTAAAACACACTGTTCAAATTACTGTATGTACTGTAGACTTCCAATTCCATCAAATCTGCAAATTTTGGCAATTTGAAATATTCTTGGTCCATCATTTTGAGATCCTCTCTGCAATATGTTGCCACTTCATTTTGCTGTATTGTGCTGAGTATGGCAAGGGCCTGGCCCTGACTGGCACTGATAGGTGCCAAAATAATGATGATAGACAGGCACCTGCTGAGCTACCTGTGAGTCTCTGAGGCTGCATCATTATTCTGGCACAGGCAAAATGCAATCTAAGAAACTTAATGGCTAGGCTGTGAACCTGTCATTAGTTTTTCATTAATTTAATTTCCTGAAGTCTCAGACTGAATAGTTTGTTATATTTGGCTTTTTATAAATTCTTATATAAATATATCTACTTACTTTTTTATTCAGTTTGCCTGGAAAATTGATGAGTGGGTACTGTGGACATGCAATTCTTAATTCCCCTGGATGACATGTTAAATCGAAATATGTCTACTGATGTGTGGTAGAGATAACATAAGATCTGTGATGGCTGTAGGAAGCATGGGAAAGAGCTGGAAGTAGAGAGCTGTGAAGGAAAACACCTCAGTGACCAGGATACTTATTGTGAAGAC